ACATGATAAGACTGTTTTGACATACACACCACAATAACCTTGCTTCGACCCTTAAATCAATATCTACATGAAAATATATAAGACCAAGGAAAGACGGACACTTTTTTTTTTTTTTTTGACTCTCTAAGGAAACCTAAACTAGAAACAAACACAGACTCTTAAGTCTTAACCCTTTCACTCTCACGCGCGCCAACATACCTCCACACGCGTAGAATCAAGACAACTTACATCCACTTCTTCGGCCTCACCTCGCCATTGCTAGATCCCGAGCCACCGTCTCTACCCAACATAGCCATCATCAAACTTCCACCATGGACTCTTCCTTCTGGAGCTAACCCCAATCCTGCTTCGTACTCATTGAGATCAACATCAGTCTCTGGAGATCCAGCAGCACTTCTTGCTCTCATAGTATCGATGTTCATGTCTTGAGAACCGCTAAACTCTTCCTCGTTCTCTGTTTCGCTGCTTTGTCTCGGTTCTTGACTCTCGGAAGTTACAGTCATTCCTCCGTGAACCCGGTTATCCTGAACCAGACTGTTATGGAGTGCACAAAGACCAGTCTTACCTCGAGCAAACGAGGTACAAGGACCAGAAGAGGACTGTCCTGCATACTCTGTCTCGGGATGACCCCACGAACAACGTTTCCCTCCTCCATGTGCCTTGCAAAAGTCGGTACTACCTTGAGCGCTTTTCCCACATCCGTCAGACTTGCATCTCTTTCCTCCACCATGTCTGACACAGAAATCAGTCCTTCCTCTAGCACTCTTTGTGCATTCGGGAACAGCACATCTCTTACCACCGCCATGAGCCACACAGAAGTTTGTACCTCCATGAACACTCTTGGAACAAGGATCACCTCCTTGAAATGCACATCTTTTTCCTCCTCCATGTCCTTTACAGAACGGCGTGCTTCCTTCTGCGCCTTTAGTGCAACCCGAGTGTGTACATCGTTTACCACCACCGTGTGCTTTGCAGAACATTGTGCTCCCTTGTGCTCCTTTTGTGCATCCATTAGATTGACATCGACGGCCACCACCGTGAGAGATGCAGAGCCCCGAAAGCCCTTCAGCGCTTTTAGTGCAGTTTTCTCTCTGGCATCTCTTTCCTCCACCATGCCTGATACAGAGTCCTGATCTTCCTCTAGCAGCTCGTGTACAATCATCATGGCTGCATCTTCGACCACCTCCATGAGCTATACAGAAATCAGTACGGCCTTCTGCGCTTTTGGTGCATCCGAGAAATTCACATCGACGACCACCTCCATGGGCTTTACAGTACACAGTTCGACCTTCAGCGCCCTTGTGGCAACCATGTTTCTGGCATCTACGTCCACCACCATGAGAAATGCAACGACCAGATGCGCCTCTGGCTCCCTTTTGACATCCTTCTACTTGACATAACTTGGAACTAGAAGAACTCTTATGCTGTGGCTTCAGCTGCTGAGATAAACCGGAAGTACATGTACCCGAGCTTATTGGTGTTGTTGTTGTCGTGCTAGATGATAGCTCCAGAACATGAACAGCAGGAATGATGACATTTTTCGGAGCATGAGCTAAGTAGGAGCTTGTTTCTTTGCTAGATGAAGCTTGCAATGACGGTAACGCAAACCCTGGTCTCCAACCACATGATGTGGATCCTTCATTAGTAGCGCGTAGCATGTCCGCAAGAGTTGGAAACTGGTTCGCCTGCTGCTGGACCGCAGTAATCTCAGATTGACAGGATCCTCCACCAGAAAGACTCAATTCAAGATCAAATTTTGGGGAGACGACCTGCAACCCTTTCATTTTCATATTAGCTGGTTTTTTGTTGCTAGCCGGTTTCTCGTTGCCAAGATGGAGACTAAAGTCCAGCTCAATATCCATTGAAGACTCCTCTTCAGTTTCTTTGGCAGAAGATAAACTCGTGCAAGCAGTTGCCGAACTCCCTTTACTATCAGAAGAGCTTGATGAGTGGCCGAGCCTTAAGGAAAGTAAAGGATCAGCTTCTCGACACATTGATCCGTCAATCAAATTCCACTTCCTTTTGATTCCCTTCGCGTTAGACAACGGAGAGGCAAGGGAATCAAGGCGCAGAGTAGTATCCGCGCCATACTCGGCCTCTGGTACTTCAACTTGAAGAGAACGGCCCAAGATCTTAAACGCGGAGTTACCAGCAATACCAGTGTTGTGGAATCTGGGATGCATAGTCACAAGTAAAAGTAAAAACTTGACAAGAAGAACACCAAAGCAAAGACGGGAAGAGCCAAACAATGTACACGAAAACTTCCGGGTTAAGAGAATAAGCCACAGCTCCTAAGAGTTAGAAAACCTTATAAGCATCTCCACCTCCGCTTACGAATCCTGAGGTATCGCACCGATCCATTTCAAACAAAGTTTAAAACTCAAATCTAGCAAGCTGCTTCGAATACTCTCGCTTCTCAACTCAAAATTAGTTCTCAACAACCTTCACCAAAGTAATACCGTAGCAGCTAATCATCCTGCTTCATAGCAAAAAAACATGTTAGTGACCAATTTCATTGCAAGCAAACTACAAAAGAGCCCCAAATTAACACATAATACCCCCAAATAGTTTAGGACAAAACAATCACTATTGAGAAAATCAGACCGTAACCCAGATTCAAAAAAGAACTATTTTATACGTTAATCAACATCGATCTTTTAACAGATTGTAAAATTAAGAATCTTTTCAAAGGAACACACCACAAGTTATGAACTTTTAAGATAAGCTAAGATAACTAGCTTAAAAGCAAAACAGAAGAAACAGAACCCCAAAACCAGAGTACCTCAAAAACTAAGCCTTTATGTATTCAACCGACACCAACTCCATCGGTTTCAGAAATTAAAAAAAAAAAACACAAAGAATCAAACAAAACAGAATTGTTCAATTTCCCAGACATCGACCTGAGGAAGATCGTTTCCTCGAACAAGGAGAACTCAAATTCTCTGACTTTTCTCATCAAAAAACAAACATGCAAAAATCAACCGAAACACAATAAAAACTACAAAAATCCCTAATTGAGAACACAGATTAATCGCGAAAGAGAATTACCTCTCAATTTTGAATCTGATTACAGAATTTCACGGCATCAAATCGCGAGATTCTCTCTTTCACAATCTCTCTTTCAACGAAAATTAAGAACTTTGCAAAATCTTGGTGAATTGGGTGATTGAACTCTAGGGATTTGCAGCGCCGGCGAGAGAGATTGAGAGAGGTAACTATAAATAGGG